GCATTTGACATCTTTTTTTTTTAAAACAAAAGCTTTCAGAATCTGTAAACTTGCCCTCCATTTCCCTTTCAGTGTACCCCTTCACTCGAACTATCTTCCCGTTCTGGCAAATGGGAGGTGTTGGCATATGCATAAAAACTATTTCTTATATGGAAACATCATGATCTCATGGACTTGTGTTCTATCCATAAAGGATTCTTAATGTTTTCATTTTCTTAGTTACCTACTTTTCAATGATTCCTCCTTAAGTTACTTTTTTTTTTGTAGTCTTGTCTAATCCTGGAAGCTTGATAATTCAAGTTTTACCAGTATGTAATATTTTATCTTAAGAGGTTTGCAAATTTTCCGTCACACTAGAATTCTGATCTGCTCAGTTATAGAGCCATCCATGCGGGTGACCATATGTCCTCCTGTGGTCGAAGCAGCTCCTCTTTACACAAGTTGCCCTGGCATCCTATCTGGTTTAGACATTGTCCTAGGTTTTTTTAGTTTTCAAGTGTAATATCATTATTAATAGTAGTATTAGAATAATCTAGGGCAGGTAAACTGACCATATTTTAAGATTCTATCATAGTTTCCTCAAGGTGTGTGAGATGTAAGTGCAATGAGTAGAATTCTCTTTATAACACTTGGCTAAATCTGTAATACCACCACCAATACCACCACCCTCTTCTCCCCAGATCTTTAAGGACACAATGTAAGCTAGCACCTTCCTTTCAAGGACAGCAGGCAGGTCAATTGATGATTACAAAGGCAGGTGCTTGGACAAAGGTAGCAAGGATGGTTAACTCCTTCCAGTGACAAGTGGAGGTGGGGGAAGAAGCGATTCCTACCGGCAGCTCAGTGCACCAGACATGGCAGGTACACAGGGTCAGTTGAGGGCCCGGAACTGTAGGTGATGGACTGTCCCCAGTAGTGGGAGAAGAATTTCCCACAGAGCTAAACTACCAGTATTTTACCAGTTCATCAGATGCTGTCAGCAGAAAACCAATTAATTTATTTTCAAATATGGTTTGATTTCTTTAATCCAATTCATGGAGTCACAGTAAAACTTTTAGATATTCATTCTAAGCTAAAACTTCTGATGTTACTTTAAACGGTAATTCAGTTAAGAAGTAAATATTGAAGAGGAAATCCCTTGTTTTGTGGTAATAATCAAAATTTTGGTGGAGCAAGATATTGTGGATTTAAAAAGCATAGTATTCTTATTAAATTAAGAAATTTGTGAAGCATAAATGTATTTGGAATTCGGGTACACAGGTAATTTATAATTGCCTCCCAATAAAGCTGCAATGTTTTTACAATGAAAGTAGATACTCTAGTTTTCAAAATTTATATCTATCTACACACACACACACACACACACACACACACACACACACACACTGAGGTAAATAAACAAGAATGTTGTTCCACCTTTTGAATATTATGAGTAATGCTGTTATAAGCATTTGTGTACACATTCTTGTGTGGACATGTTTTCATTTCTCTTGGGTATATATACCTAGGAGTAGAATTACCAGGTCATACGACAACCATGTTTAACCTTAGCAACGGTTTGTTTTCCAAAGTGATTGCACCATTAGACATTCCCACTGGCAGTGTATGAGGGTTCCAGTTTCTCCACATCTTCATCAACATTTGTTATTATCTGATTTTTTTATTCTGGATATCTTAGTGGGTATAAAGTAGTATCTCATTGTAGCTTTGATTTGCATTTCCCTGACAATATTTTTACAAGACTTTTATTACAATATTATATGAGTTTCAGGTGTACATCATGTTATTCAACAGTACCCACCTGCCACTATTCAGTTATTAACACATTATTGATTATATTCCCTATGCTGAAGAAGTGATCACCATGCTAAGTTCATCTGACACTGGACCACACCATCACAATATTATTGACTATATTCCCCATGCTGTGCATTACATCCCCAAGACTTACTTGTTTTATACCTGGAGCTTTGAACCTGTTATTTCCCTTTATCTTTTCCCCCTTTTTAAAATTTTTTAATTACAGTTGACATTCAATATTATTTTATGTGAATTTCAAGTATACAACATAGTGGTTAAACATTTGTGTACTCTAATAAGTGATCCCCTGACTAGTCTAGTACTCACCTGGCAATGTGCATAGTTATTACCATATCATTGACTATATTCCTATGCTTTACTTTACATCCCCATGACTATTTTGTAACTACCAATTTGTACTTCTTAATGCCCTCACCTTTTTCACCCTGCCCCTCCAACCCCCTCCCATCTGTCATCCCATCAAATCTAGTACCCTTCTGACATCATACATAGTTATTACAATATTATTGACTATATTCCTTATGCTATACCCTACATCCCGATGACTACTGTGTAACAACCAAATTATACTTCTTAATCTCTTCCCTTTTTTTTTACCCACCCCCTTCCCTGAGAATATTTTTGTAATGAGGTTGATGCTGAAAACAAAACAAGAAAAAAGAACTTCAGGATGACATAATACGTTTTCTCTCTTTGCTTTGCCATCAGTCAGAGTTGGAACACTTCGGCCTTTAAAGAACTACTTTGTAAATCAATCTAAGTTTCCTACAATGGTTGTGAGCATTTTTATAAGTGAGTCTTCCACATTTTAGTTGCTTTGCATTCAAGATCAGTTGAAAAACTTAAATCGAATCATTCAACAAATGAAGCATCCCTCAAAACTAAGTTTTGAAGCTTTTAGTAAATAGCAAATGATTGAAGGTTCATAAGAAGAGAACATTGAAATTTATGCTCGCAAAAGCAAGAGAACCGGACAAATTAAATAATGAGAGCTCAAATGTTATATGAGGTTGAATTTTCAATTTTGGAATTTCCTTTTGAAATATCTCGACTTGAGAAAAGACTCTTTTGACAGAGCTCCTGGTTTTAATTGAACAAATTTCTATTCTGCACCAGAATGAAAAGAAGCTGGTTTGTGAGATGGCCTAAAACTTTTACATTTATATTTAATGAAAAGAATCATAAACAGATACAATTTATGTTTTGTGTCTTGTAAAACTTTTGACAAAGAAAGATACACTGAATGGAGATAAAATAGCAGTGCCTGGGAAAATATTTGGGCCAGTTATACTCACATATATCCACTCTTTAGCAAACTTACTTGGTGTTTACTGGCACCTACATGGAAAATATTTCTATAGTAAAAAATCCTATGATACATGGAGTCAATTAAGGTATCAACAATTTCACATTTATTAACCATGAAAACAAATTTTGAATATTACAAAGTTATGAAAATAATAAAACCACATTGAAAATATATATATTATATGTATATTCTTCCCCAAATACCAGTGCTATGGTGTATTAGAGACAGAAACTAAGGAACAGGTTCACAGCAGTGAATTTATACCAAAAGTAATGATTCTGTTAATGTTACATTTTAATGTTCAAATCACCAATATAAAGTTTTCTTTTTATTTTTCTTTAGAGCATACAGATAAATGCTATCTTTGTTTATCATTTCATTTTGAATATCATTTTTAATCAAATAATTTTATTCACAAATGTACATACTTATAATTTCATTTATTTTGTATGCCCCCTTTAACTTCCTAAAGTGCCCTTATAAATGATATGCTCATTCAGCTTTTAATCAATGTCATTTTCCTTCTAAATTTTCACCCATTGGTCAGCAGGGTGAAGGAGCAGATGTTTCATTAAATACCTAATCTGATAAAAACTTCATCAAATCTGACCATTTAAAGGGTCCGTTTAGGCACTGCTTATTCTCTACAGGAAAATCTTTTCAATGTCTCAGATTGACTCCCCTCTCACTACTTCTCTCTTTAAAGTAGTGTCCAGGTAACTTATGTGACCTGGCAGGAAAAGGATAAGCTTCAGTGTCCTCTGGCCTCCAGGGGGGTTACCTGGACATGGTTCCTTGCTACCTGGTTGCTATATGTGCCCCACGGGACTCCAAGGCTCATGCCTGCACTGTGATCTGGTGAAGCTTTGATTGATGCAGGCTTACCTCAGCTTCTCCAGTGGAGGCAAAAAGATAGAGCAAGTCAAGGACTGACAAGAGCGTCTAGAGCTAAAGGGGGTCATGACTTCAATAGAACTTCTAAGCTAAGTTATCTCTCTCCAAATCACTGTTTGCTGAAATGTCTGTCTTAAGCTGAGAACATGATATATGATATAATATCCTTCACCTACTGTGTACCTACACACACACACACACAAATGCACACACAGTTCAGTGTCCCTATATGCCTATGTACCTGTTAATGTTAGAGTGCTATAATAGAACCAAAGCTTGGTGTAAAGTAATTCATACTTTTAATGGACTACAAAAACAAAAAAAGCAGGAAAAGTGGAATAAGATTAGTCATGAGCATTAGGGTTGGAAAAGAATGGTAGAGGCTATGCTCAAGACAGAAAGAACTTATAGAATGAATATTACCAAGAACGGTGTCTCTGTACAGACTGTGAGACAAGTACAGAGAAGAGATGAAACCTTTGCAAAAGGCAGTTGTCTATTCATCAGTGATGGCTTGAGGACAGAAGGCAGAGACATGGATCATGTAACTTTTCAAAGTCTTTCTAATGATGCAGTAAATATTCTTAAGGAAAAAAATGGATTCTGGCAACAAGCTGAGAAGGTATATCTTTTGATATATAGGGGAAAAGGGCATAGCTGTATGCCTAAGGACAAACACATTATTTTTAATTTAATGTTATTTAATGTTACTTCATTTTTCATTAAAGCCAATAACAACTGTGATTTTTCAGTCCCTAAGATGCCAAGTTCTTTGTGTGTTTCTTCAAATGTCCCCATTTTTTGGACCATTGATAATATTTTTAGCTGTCCTTTATCTTAAATACGCATTTTTCCATTTTGTGAGAGACAGATATTTTTGTTAATAATACCTGTTATGTGTTCTATTTTAAACACCTAGTATGATGTGTGTTTTTATTTACACATTTATTCATATTGGGCTGTGTTATATTTTCAGTTGATTTCATAGGTGGACTTGATGCTCACTCCTACTACAAGGATCATGTTGAGTTAAAGCCTGTTAACCTGTAAGTAAAGGTGTGATGAGATGGAAAATATTAATCCTTCTAACTTGGTCAAAACTAACCAAACCTGAAATAATTTGGACCTGCTACTACTAATCATTGGTTTAATTTTCCACTCATATTTAAAACACACCTTTCACATGTAACCCAACATCATCATTATTGTTATTCATTCCAAAAAGGATTTGAAGCACGTAACATGATTTATGTTTATAAAATAATATATTTTTTCTTATCAGGAGTGGATTGCTAAATAGGAAAAAGAAAGATTATTTAGCCTATAGCAAAGAGACTAAATATGTGTCTTAGGGGCAGCACAGCTGAGAGAAAAGGGGAGACAGACTAGGTTAGAATCCAGGCTCTACATGTGTGGTCTCAGGGACCTTACTTGACATGCCTGAGACCTGGATCACTCACCTATGATATGGTTTCATAGGTAGAGGAGGGAGGATGGATTAAATGGGATAAGGTATGTACTCGTATAGTACATGTAATGTTGCTATGATTATACCTAGTACTTAAATATTTGACTAACCATCCCTAGGGGACATGGAAGAAAATCAACAACTACAATAAAAATCGCCTCAAACTGGACAGATTTCAGCTGAGTATAAGGAAGAAATCATGGTGAACTGGTCAATCAAATACTAGAAAATAAGAAAATAGCTACAGTGACTCCATTCCTAAAAAACTCTAAGTAGCAAATAGGCAACTGTATAAAATAATAGCAATCATATGCAAAGCCCTTTGCATATCTCACTTAATCCTCATGAGAATATTATAATATACTAATTAATAGTCCCACTTCACAAAATAGGAAACTGAGATTCATAGAGGTTAGGCAACTTTCCCAAAGTCTCAGTAGTAAGTGGGGGATTAGGATCTTTCCTGGATCGTAAATTAACACCATGACTGATATGTGGACTTGCTCCAGTGACCTTCTTAATTGAGCCCAATGTTCTGTAATTCCATGGCAATAGAGGAAATTATGTAAACAGTGACTGGGGTAAGAAACACGTATGAAGGCTTCATTTGCTGCCTCTTAGCCACAATGGTTCTTGCCCAAATCTGCAACCCCTGCCTGGCCTCTTTGGGGACTGAATCCCCGAGAAGCCCACACTGGCTCCCCCACCTCCCCAGGTTGAATTAATTTGATTCTGGCAGAATGATGTAAAGGAAACATAGCTCACAAATCAGCACTGTGCCTGCCACAGGATAGTTGTTTAAATAAATGTTGGGTTTTTTTAAAGCAAATCCAATTTGGAAAAACATTCACCCTACATAACACTCCGAGACTAAGCAGTCACCACCTCATTACTCATGCTACCAAGTGCTCGTAAATGATGTACTCTGAAAGTTGATGTCTGTGGATTTGGGGAACTTGACTGGGATTGTGACAATAATAAAGATGGTCTGTGCTTTAGAAGTGAGAAAAGAACTGAAACAATATGCCTAGTGGTCATGAGGAGGGTCTTGTTATGCAGTAAGAAGATGATGAATGATTTCTTTTATCTCCACTGTGAAAAAAAATAACTCAGCAGTGAGTCTGCAACACGAAAATATCGGTCAGATGTAAGAAAGATCTTTCTATTAAAGAAGGTTATTAAAAACTGCAATTGATTAATGTTGATAATGGCATCTCCTTTCATGAATGACACATGTGCATCCACGTACCTCAAAGAGTGTTTGCTGTCATGGCCTAGAAGCAAGTGACTACCATCTGTGCTCCCTAAGGTCCTTTCTATCTCTGTGAATCAAGAACACATGACACGTCCTCCTACGATTACTTATGAGGCTTTGCTCAACTTCACTACCTCCTCAAAGGGTTTTCTCAAACACCGTGCTTATTGCTGAACTCTCCCACCTTTTCGGCTGAGTGTAGCATAAACTACAGACTGCAGGAAGCAATGGAACAAGTTTCTGCTTTGACAGATTATGCATATTATTATGTCAGATGATTACAGAATGCCTCTCAACCATGAAGGGAGTGGGACTCTGAAAGATCAAACTAAACCTGAATTAAAATCACTGCACATGAAACAGTTGAAAAGGTCAGTATATGTGCTTCCCACAGGTATACAAGTATTGTGGAGTTTATCCAGCCTGCTTGATTTCTTTTAGTAAGGCCTTTGTGTTGGATTCTGTTGTAGCCCGTTCAGTGATGCCATGTCACCACCTAGCAACACACTGGAGGAAAAGCCAATCTTCTGTACTAAATTGTTAGAGACGGGAATGAATGCTGGTTTTTAACTGTCATTAAGTCTCTACTCTCCAAAAGCCAGGTTTTATGAGGAAGGCACTTTATTAACGGGACCAGAACCAGCTTTAGCATATTCCCAGGCACACATATGTGGAGGGGTAGTTTTCCACTCTAAATGGGTAGGTACAAACAGACAGTCCATTCACAGGTAACATTGCAGGCTTGTACAGGAAGCCTCACTCTTGTGTTTGTGCCATTGCTTGTAGTCATACGGTGTTCCTTCCCAGGGCCCACAGTCAGGCCATGTGTGAACGTGTGTATCAGGGGTGGGGCAGTTCACATATAAATTTGGTCTTTCATGCTTTGTCTCTTTTTAAAGTAATGATATCAAGCTATCGAGGCCCATTAGTTAAATAAATTGGTTTGTTCCATTTACAACTACACTGATTAGTGACAACGTGTATGTTAGGCCCCGTGTTGGGTGCTGGAGACATAAAGGTGAGTAATACTTTGACCTCCAGTGGCTAATGATCTAGGAGACGAGATCACAGAAGAAATAAGTAGATACAAAACAACGTCCCTAAGGCAATTTTTTCTAAGAGGAGCTATTTACTTCTCACTTGGGGAGAGAAGTTTCCACTGGGAGACGATGCCGGAGCTGTCTTTGGAAAGATGACAAGTTGCTTCTCAAAAGCAGAAGAAAGTGGGTGTCCGCTGCTTGGAGGCCAATTCGCTTGGCCATTCTGCAGAGGATAAAGTTGAAACGTGTGACTGTCCAATCTGGCATTTGCCATAGTTCTCACATAAACCGAGCAAACCTATGAGGAAGCAGATATTGAAGCAGAGCCAGAATTTTGACGGCTCCCAATGGGGAGACCCTGAGATCCTCAGCAGCCGTTGCCCTACCATCTAAACAACATCACTCTTTATGCCTAAAGCTATGGGGATGCCTTCAGCGGTTGTCTTCTGGGTCTGGCTTGGGGATATGTGACACAAGTCAGGGGTAGCCTGGGCTGGGGTCCCTCATCCTGCCGCAGCTACCAGTAAGGAGGCTGTAACTCTCAACGTGACTCTAACCTGGTCTTCCTCCATTGCTGCTCACACACACCGATCCTACCTTTAAAGGGCATGGGGGGTTGGGGAGAGCAAGGGCTGCTCTCGTTATGGAGCACACGGCGATGCGGTCAGTGGTGGCTTTGAAGGGGGCACCTACACAGCAGCCTATCCCGGAGGCAGCCGTGGGAGAGGGGTAACAAAAGCAGACATCTCTCAGGACGAAAAATAGCTTGGCACCAACCCATGCAGCTATGAAAGAGATGTGGACTATTAGGAAGCATCACAGTAAGTAGCTAATTTAGCTTTAAATTTGTCAAAAATCGTCAAAATGGTTAGCGACTTGGCAGTGGGAAAACTAAGCTTGGTGTAGCAGCACTTCTTTGCATAGAAATCAGTAGACCAAGGCAGTTTATAAAAGAAAGGCAGCCATAGAATTGCAGAACTGAGTTCCACAGCAGAGGGAGAGACACTTGATGGCATTAGAAATTTCCACGAGGAAGATGCCCCACGACTGCAATGAAGAAAGACTTCATGAAAAAAAGCTTCTGCCACCATTGCTAGCCTATCTTTTTCTAAGGATTCCAAATGAGAACTTGAGTTTTCTCTGGTACCTGGACTTGTCTGAATGCCTTCGCTGGAAGCTAATTTTTCTTCAAAATAAAAAAAAGGTACACACTCTGTGGCCACTGCTGATTGTCTGCTATTGCAGCTCAGTATTAGGAGACAGATGACCTCACCCCATTTCTGGCTGGCACTGCAGTCAGCTCCCACTGGGACCTTCACTGCCCAAGCCCAGAGGAAAGCGACCTCTGTGGTGGGCTGCTGGACAGAGCTGGAGGTAGTCACGTCCATCTGCTGTTTCCTGAGAACAGCTGTTTTGTATCAGTGTCCCTGTAAGACGATGCCAGGCCATTTTGCATTTACAGCGTGTAGATTAAAAACCAGGTGAGAAGACAAATCCGGGGCATATGTGTGTTTTGGGGTGCGTGTGTGTGTGTGTGTGTGTGTGTGTGTGTGTGTGTGCACATGAGAAACAGGTAGAGAGGTGAGAATGATGTGCTTTCAAACTGATTTAAAGACCAGTAAGGACCACCTTAATGTTGGAATCATGGGGGAAGACAAGCTCAATTTCTGTTGGCATGCAGAGCTGCGGAAGGCATCTTATATGAGCCTGTAGCTGTTCCCGGCCATCTTGCTTTCATAAAGGGAAAAACCACCTGAGATCGACACCAGCACAGAGGGAAGTAAGCAAAGCCAAGAGGTCAGGAGAGATGAGTCCTGCTGGCATCATCTAGCACCCAATTGTTCTGATTAATTCCAAGCACTGCATCACTACACGCTTCTCAAACTGGAGGCTGCACAGCCCCAATTCTGTGCAGGGAGAATGCAAAACAGAGTACCCAATACATCTTTCTGAAGCATCAAGTTTATTACAAGGTTTGGAAGAATCAAGTACTTTAATAAAAACCGTCCACACCCCACAAATATAAGAGAAGAGCAGGAGAGGGGAGAAGGGCCCCAGGAAAAACAGTCTAGTCTCTTAAGTGTCACCCAGGTGGGGGCCGAGTGGTGGACCTGCAGCGACAGTATCCTCTCCTCTTGTCCCCCAGGGGGATCCAGGCCATCCTCCAACGAGGTGCTTCTGAAGGCCATGGAGATACCAGGTACCCCCTTGATGTGAGTCCGTGCAGAGAACACCACAGCAGTGTGCACACCTCCATCACCCGCTGGACCAAGTCCTCTCGCC